CATGAATGTTAGTGAGATGAATTTATGAAAATATTAAGAAGCACTGTTCTTGTCCACCCACTCACATATGCAGAACTTCATACCCCACTCACCATCCCCCAAACACGCACACACACACACATAAACACAACATGGTGTCATAAACCGCCAGAGAGTGCACCACCATAAAAAGACATTGCAGCACTGTTGCTGCATTGGAGGGAAGAATATCTGCGTGCCATCAGATTTCCAAAGGCTCTTTCTCAGCGGACTCCCTGCATGCATGCAGACAACAACATACTCCTAAGTTTAAGAAGACATAAAAAAGACCACAAATAAATGAATATCAAAGGAAGTAAGATCACTTCCCTTTGCTGTGTGCGTGTATGCAGATCACAAGTGCCAGACCTAACCTAAAAACAAACAAAAAGCCCGTTACTCCAGCTGGTGAGTTCTCACACAAATCAGCACACACACAAACACGCACACACTAATGCTCTTCCCATCAGGCATTTGGCTCTCAGCAGTTGTCAGCAGCCAACAACAGCAGCAGTAACATCTCAGCTCCAGAAGAGACGAGGGTGAAAGCCTTACCTCGGCTCCCCTGCAGAGCCTTTACAAGCTGGACTGAACATCTCGCAGTCAGTGGACGGTGCAGCATTAGCAGGAGACCAGTGGACCAGAGGAGAGGTTGAGTGTATGTGTGTGTGCATATGTGAGAGAGAAAGGGAGACAAGGAGCGAGAGAGAGAGAGAGAGAAGGGGAGGGTAAGGGGAGAGCGCATATAGGGAGAGGGCGCAGCGATAAAGCACAGGGTAGGGCAGAATTATGTGATGAGAGACAGCGACAGTGAGTGCAAGAATGGGAAACAGCGTTACCATGGAGAGGACTACACCCAATCTCCTCCAATCTTATTAAGAAAAGGTACAAAAATATATAAATAAACAAAAAAGCGGAAGAGAAACTCGAGCTGAAAATAAAATTAAGGCAAATGTTTGTTTTGGCAAAGGCAGAAAGGATGGACCACAGGATCAAAGAAATAGTTGTTGGAAAAGGATATGAATTGTTTCCAGGATTTTCCATGTTTAGTTTTTTGGCGCTGCTGCAATGTTCAAGGTTTTGTTCTTTACCTTTTTTGTTTAGCATTTAGTTTTCCCAGTTTGGTTCTAGTTAGGATCTTTCTTGTGTGCATCTGCCTTTTGTTTTTGTACTTTCTTATCAGCCATATTAAACGGCTCGCTTTTTGTTGATAGTCAAGTTTTGGTCCAAGTTCCTTCGTGTCTGCGTTTTGGGTCCACGCTACACAATACATACAGTCCTCCGCCAGACTGTGACAACATGATTGACTAGTGGACACATTGTGCGTGTGGTCAGTCACATCCATCCCTTACTTTGGTTTTACAAACCAATGTGGCAATAGAAAAAATGCTAAGATAAGATTTCAATTTATTTTAAAGGGACATCACAAACCAGGGAGTGTCGGGCTGATGTCAATGATTCTCACACGGTCTGTGAGTGCACTGAGCTGACATTTTTACATTAAACACTTACTTTCGATTTCGAACACATGGTTACTGTTTCCGTGAATAAAACTCTTAAACAGGCGCGCACTAAAAGGGTTTAAAGGAAAGGTCATCGATTTAGAAGTGTGACACGCATTTGAACCCTAATAGACACAGAAATCCAACAACCTACCAACACCAGGCGATCATGGGTGTCAGTTATTCAGTAAAGTTGATCCCCTGCTGAAGTACAAAGGCTGTCAAATCAATCTCAAACACACACAAACCTCCCTGCACAAACAGCATGGTTTGTGATTGATGTGCAGCTCAGAGGCCACAGTGTTCGACTGATGGCCCTAAACAAAAAAAGCAAAAAAAAATAACCACACACTGATCTCTCTAAAGTATTTCTTATTGATCTGGTTTCCTGCCTGCAGCCCTACTGACACATGAACACCCAGCAGTCCTACAGAGAAAGAAACCAAATAGGGAGAAGGAAGGATTGAAATTGGTTTAATTAAATTCACCCCCACAGCTCCCCCCAATGGAAAGACTGAAGCAGACACAAGTGAGCCTACAGGTGCTTCTGAAGTCACTGTGCTCCCCTATTACCCACCACACACATCATAAAGACATACCCCACCTATCATTTGTTGAGTTTGCCGTCTCTCCCTTTAATCTCCAGGCAGTTTAATGCTTGCGGATCCTTTGTCAGTTCTAATTGGTCCTGCTCGTTGGGGTTGCCTTGGAAACCAGTTTAGAAAGTGTTGGCTGGAGGTCTGCCAAAGGTTGTGATAAGATTAGCTGTTATGGCCCACTGTAACCAACACTGTGCGCATTATGCAAACAGAAAGTAGTTGCAGTGATGCTGTTTGTTCCTTTTTTTTTTTTTTTTTTTTAAAATGGTGGGAAATATAAACAAACTAATTTCAGCTCTCTTAAGTTTAACATGGAACATGGCGTTACTGCATGGTTCACTTTACTGCCATTACATACATGCATGAGGGAAAATGTTCTGTGATGGAAGATGGAAGAGCTTTGGCTGCTGTTGGTATATGACAGCGGGTATCAGTGTTGCATGCTGTCTGCCACAGTAACAAGTCCCCCCACCCCCAAAGGCCTAAATCTGTCTTTGTGAGCTTTGCTAACAAGCAAAATGTCTGAGTCTTGTCAGGGTGAGCTTATGGCACATGCCAGGAGCTTCTTGTCCAATTATATAGTCAGAGATATATATGCTGCTGACACTCTCTCTGTCTTTGTCTCTCTGAGACACGTGACCGCCAACCACGTGACTTTAACTTGCCTGTCCGTGCCAGTTTGAACATGTGACAATCATGGAACAAGTGAATAAGATTACAGTCACACAGTCAATGACCATCAGCCACTTGTTAGAAGTAAAAATTAGTATTACCTGACAGCAGGCAATAGTGCAATAATACTACAACAGTGGCCAAAGCTTTTACAGCTTACTTCACAGGTTGCAAGTGGAAGCTGAAAGCTCTTGCTCAATGTAACCACTTGATTTAAATTAATACGTCCTTTATAACAAAAACAGAAAATGATTGCTAAAGCCCCAGTCACACAGGTCCAGAGACCTGTGACTAACCACCGCCCTTTGTGATTGCTTATTTACCGCTAGCATATTGGGGCGAGTAGTTTAAATTAAAGTGGAAAACTCGTCTGCAAACACTGGCTAGCTGCTCTCCAAGCTGTAGTGCAAATGTAAAAGGAGCAACACAAACTGAAGTTGAGATCTTTGGCCTTCAAAGTAAGAGTTGCACCTTGTTAAACCTGTTGGCTGCAGGGCTGAGGTATAACTTGTTTTTGAAACCGTCACACTTTCTGAAGCTGTATGACCACTGAGCTACTATTTTGGGACAATTTGTGCAAGAAACTAGAGGAAACTGTGATGATCCTCTTGCAATCAAAACAATCACAATAGATTTTTGGTGCAGCGGGTTCTTTACCTCTGGTTTACCCCATCAGCACACATTCTTCCATAGCCCATCCAATATGGTGCATTTATATTTTATTTTAATCCATTGAAACATGTTAAGCAAATGGCTGAGAATGAATGAATACATTTACAGCAATTTGGGAAATGACAGCATAGGAACACTTTCATTTGAAAGCCTCATATTTTTAAAATGTATTTTTTTTTTTTTACAAAACAAAGCTAACCCAATCATATTCGCTCTATAATTTTCTTATTCTTTTCACTTGGACAAATCTTTTTCTACTACAGCTCACAATACACTTGCTTGAGGATATGCAGAAACTATTCCATGTCAGATTTTGGGGGGTTTCTGGACAAAGCCAGATAATATCATCTTGTCACTGAAAGTGATCTCTTTAAGACCTTGTAATGTGTAATACCAGATTAATGCCTGGGTTTGAGTCCTGTAAATAGGAGACAGGAGCACCTGTCATCACAAGCAGCACAAAGGTCTAGTGCATTAAAAGAGCATGTTAATCCTAAAGGTCATACAGCCATAAATTAGGTTACATGCAAAGAGAGGAAGAGTGAAGTGGGACAGAAACAAGATGTGTAAGAAGAAGATAAGCTCCTGCTCTTTTGTCTTCATGGTATTCAAATTAAGAACCAGAATACAAGTATTATTTGTATTGTAGTATTATATCTTTGTACATTATATTCAGTATTCAGTATAATAACTAAAGAAGCAGGCACAGTTTTCAAAGACACATTTAAAATAGGGTTTAAGTCATTAAAATGTTAAGCTTTTCAGGTAAAACCAGGTTGTATAGATGATAATGTAAAACAACATGGAGTATCATCTCAGTTCAGTGACTGGAGTAATGTGGATAATACTCATTATAAATGACAGGGGGATAACATACAGTCCCTTCCCAGCCACACATATTAGGACAAAGAACAGACATCAGAAAAAACAAGCCTCTATAGTAGGAAAAATAAAAATAGAAAACAATATTTGCCAATATTTGAGTATTAAAGATGTTGTAGATGTATTTAATTGGCTATATCCGCCCATCGGTTTTCTTGTGAGGACGCTGGAGCCCATCCCAGAGAACACTGAGCAAGAGTTGTGATTTAACCCTGAGGATATACTATTGGGGAAATTTATAAATATGTTGCACCATCCAGGCTTTGTTTGTGGTAGCTGGCTTAACAAAACCTAAAATCCCACCTGTAGATAACAGGTGTCACGACAGTGCTTATCAACTAGCTCTGTTAAGCTTTTCTGCTTCAGCCTTGGTTTGCGCCTATATAAAAATCTTGTGCTACACAAAACGATCCCTGTGAGCGTCGCCTACTCCAGTCAGAGATGTGATTGATTGATCATGATGATGATAAAATGGTGATTAAAAGTGTAATAGTAGTCAGGTATGCCTTAACAACCTGCATATGCAAAATAGCTTCCACCAGCTGTGAATCCACACAGCACTTAAAACATGTTCTAGCCTCGCTAAAAATGCAGATGTGGTTCCTTGATTGGCATACAGGTTACAGGTTTATCAATGAGAGAAAAAAAGACTACATTTAGGTTGAGGATCTTTATCAAATGCACAGTAAACTCAGTTACAAATTCACATGCGCACACTGATGAACAACCACAGAATAATGAAAGATAAGATAAATACAACAGACATCAACACGTCCAGAGAAGCCATCAATTAGAGATCAGACATTTATCTTTATTACTATATCAACACAGGAAAAGCTAACATGCTCTAACAATTAGTGTTGCCCTTATATTTAAGTGCATGAACTGATAATTGGTTCAGCTAAGCATCGCAGGCGAGTGTCACAGAAAGCACAAAGCGTCTCAAAGACTGTTTTCTCTGTATTATTGTAGGGCGTTTACCCCACAATGTAAAGTGCTTTGAGATGACTGCTGTTGTGATTTGGCGCTATAGAAATAAAACTGAACTGAATAGATGAGATATAGCTGATCACTCATTCACATGCCTCTCAGGGACAATTGGAGAAAATAAAATAAAAACCAATTGTGCAGAATGTTTTGGTTTGTATGCATAAACTGTAGCAACCATTACATTAGGGATTAGTTGGTCTGTTGTGAAGCATCGAGCTGAGTGTTTCCACCACTGGCAGAAACACGGCACATCACAAGGTGATTTTCTCCTTTTTGATTCTAATCAGGAACAGAATTTAGTGAATGAACATCATGCCGCATTCAGAAAGACAAACCCCTCTATGAAAGTGTAAACTTATACCGCAAACAACAAAGATGTTTACCCGTAGGCATACAAAGACTTCTTTCTGCAACCAGAGGAGTCACCCCCTGCTGCTCATTGAAATGTTACCGTCTGTGGTTCTAGTGAACACTGATAATATGCAATACATAAAGTTGAATTCTGAAGGAGGAGCAACTTCAGAGCCCCAAAGCATCTTTCGTTACTCTGCAACCCAGCAGCGCATTACCGGCCTCCACACACTCTGTCACACACGTCGCTGAAAATAAAGTGATTAAGCACAAACAGAACACACTGTAAAACAAAAACACAAAAAAGAAAACAGCAGTTCAATATTTATTAGTCTTATTACCATTGTGAGCACGGAGCCACGAGGCAGCCTTCATAGCCAGAAGCTCCCACTCGTCCTTTGCATCCATCTTGAAACCATGAAGCCAGATCAGAGCCAGAATGGTGGCCCACACTTCACTGCTGGCCTAACTCCACAAATTAAAAGCAGTGCATATGTTGAGATTGCAGGCTATTGCCCTTACACTTAGATATGATTAGCTGGAGTAAAGGAGTAAAAATTTAATAAATTAATAAATACATTATTTTTGTCTGCCAGACTTTTGCTGCTGTGTAATACTACTAATGCACTGCTGCTTAAACATCTATGACTGAATACGTGATGATTACCCACCGATGCAGGTTTCAGGTTTGCCACCTCCTTGCTGGTCTTCCCCAGCACAGAGGCCAAAGCTGGCTTCAATAACCAGCATCCAGAGGCTTCCAGCAGGGAAACCAGCTGCAGCAAAGGGTCTTTGACTGACAGCTCAGACTCTGTGGCTGTGATAAGAAAGTTACATACATGAATATCATGGTAATTTTGGGCCTGGCCAAGAAGAGCAGCAGAAATATGCCAGAAGCTTGTTGATGGCTACAAAGAGTGTGTAGTCAAGGTGCAACATGCACATTAAATATTAGTGGCAGATGTGTATAAATATGGACCCGCATGCATAATTTTGACCCTGCGTGGATTAGATTAAAAACCTGTGGACCCATATCTTAGTTTTTAAGGCACTAAAGATGTATTCTGTACAAAATCATGCAACTCCAGAAAAAGAACAGTTCAAGAAAACATTAAAAGCACAAAATAAGTGCACATACTGTAGGTTATTGTTACAGACAGACACATGTATGTGTCTTGTATTTCATAGAGTTTTTGACATGTGTACTAGCAAAAATAAGAGAAAAAAAAAAGTAAACGTGTCACTTGTTGACTTACCCTTCCTCTGAGGTGAGCAGTTAATGCAGCCGAAGGCTGTTGATGGGGAAAAATTTCAGGCAAACCATGAAGATGTATTTTTACTTCTATGTGAAAAATGTGTGATTCACTTTTAGTTCAGTCAAAAGAAAAAAGTCTAAAATAACCTTTTGGAAGTTTACATGTGTGAATAATTTTGGTAATAACAATAATTTTCTTTTTTGGAAGGTAGGGTAGCTTTAATGACAAGAATGTAAGTGTGATGAGTGGGCAGGATGTGAGAGACAGATCCTCAGAGGACGCACACTTGTTGGGTTGATGTTAAAATTAGACCTCTCCTATTCCCAGTATGCATATGTGTGGTTTGTTTGGGTTAGCTTTTGGCTTATTTTCCATCTTTTGGGAAATTTCATTGATTTATGCTGGTGCTTGTCAATGCAGAGCTCTAAAAAGCTCTAAAAGTCAAAACCAGAATCTTAAAGTGCAATCTGAAGTTGATGCAATAAAGTGTGAATACTTAGTAAGAAGCCTCACAGCGGCATCCTGAACGATCTGCTGATGTTCCAGAGAGGAACTTAGGAGAAGTGAACAATTATAATAACCTTAATTAAATAAAAGGCATGAATAACAAATTCCAATTCAGACCCGGATACACAGAACTCAGCTTGGAAGTGATTAAAAACAAGAGTGAACCAAACATTTAACATTGGCAAATGTGGCATAAAGTGTCCATTACTTTGTTTCCACTTTCATTATGTTCAAATCTGCTGGGCCACAAACAAGACATCTCTTTTTTCTTCACTAAACTGTGTGTGTGTGTGTGTGTGTGTGTGTGTGTGTGTGTGTGTGTGTGTGTGTGTGTGTGTGTGTGTGTGCGCGTGCGCGCGTCTACACAGAGATTCAATATCTCGGAAGAGTAAATCCTTTACCTGATCTCAGTTTCTCCGTTACAGAGATCCCTGCAGAGATAAAAACCATAAAATTTCTGTTACTTTACATCCTTAACATTACATTGATGGAGCTTGGCTAAGGATCAGTTATATGTTAAGTGGGATTTATGTCCAGCAGAGGTAACGTATGCACTGTCTGCTCCACATCAGGGACTGCCCATCTGCCTGCAGTAAGCTCTGTTTCCAAATGGAGGCAACGCACAAAGTGTGCGGTACAACCAGTCTGTGTGCCACTCTTGCTTGTTCTGTTTTTGTCCATCAGCCAGCCGTAATTTTTTAACTTTAAAATTAGTTTTTTCACAGTTCTCCTGTTTCCAGCAAACTCAACTGTCTCTCCCATCTTTATTCCAGCCCACTTATCAACCAATCAGTATTCAGTACAAGATTACATCATTTTCTTCCAGCAATGTGCCGTCAAGATATTGGTGGACAGTGTGAGAAGGGTCTGGAGAGAAACCCCTCGCCCTCTCAAACACTAATATGTACAGGAATAGACACATTTGCAGGACCATCAATCCTGCTTTAAGAAACTGAACATGTACACAGAATGTTTGCCTTTACCATTTGAGACTCTTACAATGTGGGTGTAGCTGGAAATTTGTGGCACTTCTCAGAAAAGGTAAAAAAAAATAAAATAAAAAAATCTATCGAGTGAAATTTGTGGAAAATCTCAAGGTCGTTGCAAGTGTGTGTGTGTGTGTGTGTGTGTGTGTGTGTGTGTGTGTGTGTGTGTGTGTGTGTGTGTGTGTGTGTGTGTGTGTGTGTGTGTGTCAAAAAGTAACAGTACTTACCCTTACTGATGCTTGGCTGACTCTCACAGGAATCCACCAAATTACACTGTTTTAAAGCTGTGTCACACAAAACAATCATCATCTTTATCATCATCATTTTAAAAAAGTGCTTCAAACAGAAGCGCAAACACCAGAAGAGGACAGAACGAGATAAAATAAAGTCACAATAAAGGGAGAAAGATGCAAAAGGGCAACAAAAGCAATAATACCACTAAAATATAACAAAAAAAAAATGATACCGATAATTTAATAAAAATTCTTTGTCTTCTAGCAATTTCTAGACACTAATGATAATGGCAATTTTATTTATATAGGACATTAGACTAGATGTGCTGAACATAAATGTTTAAAACATGTTACTGGCCTGTTGCTAGTTAACCTAAGTCGTTGCAAAATATTCCTGCAGCTGTTTCTTTTTAAATGTATTTTTGCAGCGTTTTGTTTCCCCCGTCTCAATTTTTTGTGATGTGTAGCTGATATCAAATTCCAAAATACTTAATTATTATTATTGTTTTATTTAGTTACCTCTTTCTTATTAACATTTGATATGTTTTCTAAATTGTATATAATTGGTCTCTGTGTTTATTTACAATTTAAAGAGCGTCCCAACTTCGGGGTTGTGAAAGAATCAGGCAAAAATTCTGTGCTTTAAGACGATGTAACTCGCTCTAGACAGGGCAGGTGTTAAGCACAAGTTGGTGATGTAATCAGATAAAAAGCGAGCCATCTTCATGACACTGAAAACTCAAATGTCAACATATTTTGCTGAGCCATTAATGACACTTCTTAGTACAGCCCTGTGCTCACAAAGTAGGACTTGAAAGAAAAAAACCTCAGCAGAACTTTGAACATTCACTATTTCAGAATAAATCAAATATCAGTGCTAACACTCACTGGGTGGTGGTATCAGGGGTCCTTGTATCGCCTCACCACTGCTTTTACTAACAGCAATAAAGGCAGTAAAGGCACTGCTCACTCCTGACTGGATACTCAACTCCTCCACCACCTTCTTCATTTCCTCATCACGCTCTCCTTTGTTGTCTCTTGCTTCCATCTCGAGGGAGCGAATCAGAGTTCGAGCAGCCAACATGTGGACTGTTAATCTGCAAACAGGGCGAAGGAAGAAGTACAGCTGGGATTCTTCTTACACTATCATCCTAATAATGTTTAATAACATGACAACAATGACATACTCACAGCTAGCTCCATCCACAAACAATGCATACAAACAAATCTTAGTATAATCTGTGCATGCTAAAATTGAATGCACAAATCTATTGAATCATTAGTTTTGAATCTGAACTTATTTCTACTCTAATAAAAAATTTATAACTGCTCCTGACCAAATGTATAAGCTAATACTACTAATTGTACCACCAGACTAACAGCTCATTTACCCAGTGTCCTCTGCAGGTCTGAGACTGAAGTGCAGCTGGTTCTCAGAGGGATGACCTGCCAGGCTGTACTTCAGCGTCACACAGCCCTCTGCTGCCTCTGAGCTCTGACACAGAATTACAGTGTTAGAAACCAACTACATCTTCACATGAACATCACTGTTAATCAGATTTCAAAACACAACAGACATCTTTCACTGTGAGAAGATGCTGCTCCTACCTGTCCAGTGAGCTGGGCATAAATCAGTGACCTCTGACCCTGGAGAATGGATGTGATTGGTGGAGTGAGGACAGTGACAGACACTTCCTTTGGTAAATCCCATGTGACTGAGATGTCAATCACAGATGGCTGCAGAGCAAATTGCAGTGATTGCATCACCTGAATAATAATTCAAAACAAAGAGTTAGGAGCTGTTTTTTTTAATGACTGGAATCACACTCTCTGATTAAATAAGTATTTGCTGTGGTTTTGTTTAATTTGACCTTGATTGTGTTTAATGTCTTACTTTTGGTTGTATCTTGTCAGTCGCAGTGATGAACTGAGCGTGACCTCCTCCTTCCTTGGATATCTTATTAATGAAAATATAGCTGGTGTTTTCTCCTGTCCCAAAAGAGAAACACCTGCAATACAACAGTTTCCATTAGATACAGAGACAACTTTTAGCACATTCTGGGAATTCTGCAGATATCTGGTACCACGCAAAAGCCTTAAGCCGTCCCTCATTTTGTTATATTTCATAAAATATTAAGTCAAGTGCCTTTTTATGCTTGAATGACTCATAAGTCAATGTCATGTGGCTTAAACAAAAACAGCCACAACCATGTTCAAATTAAAGACCTTTAGAAAGACTATTCCCCAAGACCACCTTAAATATGGCAAAAAAACAAAAAAAAAAAAAAAAAAAGAAAAGAAAAGAAAATCTGCCTCCTTAAAAGCAAAATACTAAGAAAAGAGGGATGGATCAAGACTTTTGCACAATTTTGTAGTTATGTTTTGTGTTTTCACCTGTGAGAACTTGAATTCTTCTTCACCAGATCTATCACTTCTTTGTCGTTCTTCACCCATCCGCGAGTTAAGACAAACAGCTAGAAAGAAGAGTTTCACCATAAAACAGATGTAAAACAGTAAAACAGTTTGTGTTTAGAGCCATTTTTGGTTCTTTGTTTTAGAAACACAAATGGTTTAGGAGTAACAAACAATGCACAGTTAGTATGAAGACCAGTTACCTGAACAATAATGGTCCTGACAAGCTTTTAAAAACAGTATCTAGAATTACGTGGTAATACGGTATTACTGCAAATTGTGTGTCAATCCAAATTACATACTGCTTGTGTAACAATGGAGATCCATTTAGGATGGTGTGACATATATTTTCTTATCAGAAAGTAAATGTGCGGCTCTATGCAGATGTCCTTATACTCTCCAGTTTGTTGGGCCACTACACTAAATTTGTGTACCTTATTCAGCCAAATGTGAAAATAGTTCAAAAAGAACAAAAACACCCATCCATCTGTTTCTGTATTTGTTGGTAAGGTAAAACAGTCATGTGAAGTTGTACAGTCCCAATACAGGGAAAGGAAGTAAGTCACCATAGCTTATCTCTTTAGATTTTTAGGTAAATATATGTTCCAAGAGTACCTTTATGCAACTATTAGTTGTAATTAAGATTGGGGTGAGCTCCTAAATCTCGTGTGTGTGTGTGTGTGTGTGTTACCTGTCTAGGCTGATTGAGAATGCAGGGCTGGCTGTAAATATGTTTGAGGGGCTCAAGGATCTCTGTTTCTCCAAGATCAGCCTTCATCTTCTTTACTTTCTTCAGAGCCTCCTCCATGGTCTGCCGGCTGTACTCCACACTCTTACTGTCATTACACAAACACCAATACACAAGCACGTGTATTTCTTAGCAAAAACAAGAAGACTTCTGTTGGGTGAAGGAGTTACTCACGGGAAGATGTGTTCATATCTGGACCCAAAACTGTAAATGTTGAAATAGCAGCCCATTGGTAAACTCTTCAACAGGAGGAGCAGAGTGTCCTTCAGAGAAGACGAAAAAGATGGAGAAAGCCACTGTGAGAGGGACACTAGAGATTAAAGACTTCATGAGTCACACATTATGACTACCTTTGCACTGTGGATGCAAGTCTGAAGACTCCTTCTTTTGATCCTAAATCCCATACTTCCAGATCGATCCATTAAGAACACAAACTCTCCACATGAAGCCGTTGAAGACATCACAGACTGGGGGAACTCAGGGTACAGACTCACCATCACCACTGGATCACCCATCAGAGAGCCTGAAACACATGAAAAGGGGAAAAGAATGTAAACTTTATAGTTTACAATATATTTAAACACTGTTATCTCCCACCGGAAGAAAGAGGACACGTTTTTAAATCATCAGTTGTTAGTTTGCAAATAAAAATGTGCAAACCAACAACTCACCCGGCTCAGCAGAGGCCTGTCCTGCCTCCACCACAGCAGTGGGCTGGTGGGCGTCTTTGTAATAAATCAGCAGTTCAACATCTCTGTCAAACTTGTGTCCTGCAGCCAGCTTGACCTGCACACCACAAACACATTCATATTTATTCATCAGTAACAAGTAACACAGACACATCAGCACTCTACCTACCGTGGCCTGGGTTTGATCAGTGTTGAGGTACTGCAGAGGGTCCAGGGAACAGTTGGACTCTACTTTAGAGACTGGACGAGGAGAGGACACTCGGGCAGAAAAAGACAGACTGTAGGGCTCCAGAGAGGCTGGAACAGAAGTTACCTGGAAACCTGCACCTGCACTACCTGTACACAGTATCAGACTGATTAGAAGTAAATCTTTTGTTACAGTATCAACTTCAAGGTTCACAGAAAAATTAATTGAACCTCATGCTCTGGTTTTCTTTCTATTGTTATTTGATTTTAATACATTTCACTTCAGTTTTATTTGTATAGTACCAAATCACAGTGAAACAAAAGTCACATGAGAGTAAAAGAATTATAAATTTGATTCTGGATTTGACAGTGAACCAATTAGGAGAAGCCAGTAAGGGATAAATATGTTCTCTTTTTCTAGGCCCAGTCAGTACTCTCGCTGCAGTAATAAATGCATGAACTAGTTTTTCAGCATAATTTAGTTCAATTGTTGTTTGCCATCTGGCTTCAACAATAGATAAAGCTAAGTATCATCTGCAGGGCCATATATTTGGATGTTGACTTTTAATGTTCTCTGTAAATCTCCCTCATATACACATTTACATAAGGGGGACGTAAACCCAGGTATGAGAAGGTGCAGTAATAAAAGCTTGTGTACATATTATGTTAGGTGCCTTTTTCATGGGCACCCAACTCAAGGGAGGAACCAGTGTTGTGTCTACACATAACAGACAACTTAGCAAAGTGGACACAATTTTAAACTGTATCTTTAGGCAGCCTGTTGCAAGTACACATCAGTTGTTCCCATTTCTTTAGCTGAAACCATGAAAAAGTAAAAAAATAACACTTTGACATTTATAAAATAATATTTTGGCACCAATAAGATGATTGCCAAAGTGCTATTAGATAAAAACTTGACATATCTGGGTAAGCTGTGCAGTGTGTCCTTAAAACATTGTGGAAACTAGACAGGTGAAGAAGTGCCAGGCCTAACAAACTATCTACAGCACATAATGATTTGAAAGTCATGTCCTTAAGAAATAGGAAAAAGATCCAGCGAACAGCTAACAGGACCCGAGGGATGGATCTGGGTCTTTAGTTGATCCATTTACGGTTCATTGAAGCTTCATCAGAAACGCTCTCAAAAGGAGGGTGGCTATCAAGAAGCCATTCTTATAAAAGGGAAAAAGGGTTCGAGGCATACGAATTTACACAAGAGGTGGACTGAAAATCAGTGGCAACAAAGGTTATCTTGACAGAGAACAACACAAAAGGCAAGCAGGATCAAAAGAAAAGCTACAGTTGTCCTACCCTGAGGTTGGTATCGAGGGTTGAGCACAGCAGGCAGACAGAACCTCAGACCATCATCAGCCTGTACAGCCAGCTCAGTGACATACTCCAACCTGATGGAGGCGCTCTCTCCTGGAGGCAGACTGCCCACACACAGAGAGAATATATCTGGACTCTCATCACTCTCTGTCAATAGGCAGACCTGCTGACCGGAGCTCAGAGCATCATCATACTCCTCACGAGCCTGAAGCACAGGTGACACATGTCAGTGACATTCACTGCGTTTATTTTGAAGCTCACTTATAATCAGGTTATATTTACTGTCCAGCTCACCTTCTGTTTCTCCTTCACCTCAGCTACAATCTGCGTCTGTCCAATCTGAGCACTGAAATGACAGACAGCAGCATCTCCAGGCAGAGGCAAGACAAAAACAGCCTCTAATGGTTTGTCCTCCTTGTTCTCATAGTTCAGAGTGGAGACCACTGTAGCCACATGGTCCCTCACCTCCAGCTCCACCTCAACGCTCTTCAGAGGAACTGACAGACAAACAGAATCAAAACATCCAAACTTACAGATGGTACATTATGAATGAATTATGAAAGAGGTAGGGTCTAAGTCAATACTTCTTCCACTTTTTTCCCTACTTTTCTAACTTCTTTAGTGTTTCAACAATTCTGGGCCTTTATAGTATTTTTTGTTTTCTGATGCAACTGAATCCACCTTCATGCCATCAGAGATGCAGGAGCGGATGTTTTTTTTTTTTTTTACCTGGGTCCTTCTGGGCAGTTATCAGACCACAGGATCCTGTATTTGTACCTATATACAGACAAATCATAGATTTTAGTTTACTGGAACTGATACATTTACACATTAATGTCATACAAAGGCAAACTGAGAGAATGAATACAGAAAGTGAATATGACACGGCTAAAGGATGCAATCTCAGGTCTTTTTACAAAACACCTGAACTAAAGTTTGTGATATAACCTACAGAAGAGCAGGAAGTTATTTTAAAAAAAAACAAAAACTATTGTATTAGTTAGATTAAAATATCTCTCTCTCTTTTCAACCTTGCACTTTGTAGACAGTCCCTGCACAATCCCCTCTGAGTCACAGTCTATAAATAAATAAAAACTTGTATTTATCTAGTTCAAAGAGTAGCACAATTTCTTCCATTTTATGGTTGGAAAATATATCAAAATTATTATTATTTTCAATTTTACTTAGTATCAGAATTTTGGTTAAATTCAATGACTGGTCAAAATATTCTCAGTAGGTTTTAAAAGGTCAGGTTTTAGAATTAAAAAAGCAACAAAATCTCAAGGGTGGGGTTTATGAGGCTGGATAAACAGGGAATTCCATACTATACTGCCTTCTGTATGGAAGACAGAAGCTGGTATATTGGAGGAAACATTGGACTACAATCAATTAAATGAAAGGTAGTAATACTATCCCATAATTCATAAAAATGATCAAAATTACTGACAAGTGACAAGAAAGTGTTGAAACTTAAAGATGATCAATTTTTTTTTTAAAGTTAGACTAAATGCAGAGAAGACAGGGAAGTAACAAAATACTACCTGTCATTAATAAAATCTATGGAAAATAGCAAAAACTAAGACAGAAACTCAAAGAAACACACAATCCAAAAACAGTGCTAACTAAAATCTTATTCCAGCTACTACCTTTCCTTAAGGGCTTATTCTGCAAATGTCCTTCCTGATGAAACCCAAATGTAGAATTTATGTCTGTCTGGAATTAAACAAGCAACCACTTTCTCGCCGAGAATATGTTTTAACCGCTATACCCGTGGAGGAACTTCAAAAGTGCCAATTTATTGGTTAAAAAAATGACTAATTGAAAAATTGGCTTTAAAGAAGACGGACTTTGTGGCATTAAGCAATAGTTTTCCAGAATGCTTGTAGAAATAAATCCTAGTACCCGACCATTTTCCCAGGAATGCTATTTGCTTGTTGGTTAGTCAAGCCAGGCGGAGAACTATTCCTGAATTTTAAATAAATAAAGAAATTACAAGAAAGCTTCTAAGGGAGTTCAGGCTCCGCTGAAGAATAAAGGTGGCACGAACTCTGTTTTGTCTTATACACTATTTTTCAGTTTATGTTTGCACATGCTCCAGTAAAACTACTTACCTTTACTGATCTCACAGGAATCTGAAAAACTGTATTGGCGAAGGAATAAAACTGTGTGACACAAGACAAAGTTATAATCATGATTTAAAAACAGTGTCTTTGAAGTGTATTTACAGACAAGCTGTAGCAAAAAAAAATAAATCTTAATTCAATCATAAAGCCATAACAATTTTGTAAAAGAGAGTTAAAATCGGGAAAAAGATGCAAAATACAAAATAATATGTTTCAAAATGTAAAAAAAAAAAATCCCTGAATTTCATTTTTTGCATTATCCAAATCATGAAACGTATTCATTTCAGTATATCCTTATTTGATGTCTGCAGTACCTCAGATGTTTTATCCGTTTTCCACTAAGTCACCGAAAATAACCATTTGAACTTTCTATAGTATATCGTCATATTTTCACACTTACAAATGTAACTAATGGGTCTGAAATGGAGACGCAGCAGTGTAAAGCCTTTGATTCTATTTTACTTTTCCACAAAATAATTGCTCATAATTTCCTGCAACCACCAGGTGGTGGTGAAGAGTCTTTTTCTCTCACATACACACAGTGGCTAAAATAAGTATTAAACATGTCACCAATTTTCCAAGTTAATGTATTTTTAAAGGTGCTACTGACATGAAGCTCTAACCAAAAATCATTAACAACTCATCCAATCCAAAAATACTAAGAAATCAAGCCAAACGTGTCCATAAATTCTGTGTAAAAATGAGAAATGACACAGGGGAAAAACGCATGAAGAAAGGGAAGAGCAAAAGGGCATGGAAAGAAGAATATCTATCAGTAATTAAAAAGCAGTTCTGACACTTAGTGCAAATTAATATCAGTTGCTTCAGTCCCAACTGATGGCCTCTGGAAAGGTGTCTCATTACCAATGTGTCACACAAGAAACATCTCGTGATGGGTAAAACAAATGAGCTCTCACAAGACTTTGGCAACCTTATTGTTGCTTCCAGCGAGCACTACTGGGGCCATGTGCATGCACTGCACATTTTGTGCTGCTGTGACTTCATGCATACCTTCCTTCAGCTGTGTTAGTAAGATACAGCTCTGCAGACTACATGTGTAAAACTCATCTCGTAAGTAGAGGCCTACATTTTGCATATTTTAAAGAGTGATTTTGAACTGAAACTCTCAATATAACTTGCTCAAGACCAATTAAGTGTTCGGCATAAGTTACCACTGTGAATGAACAAGGTAAAAAGAAATCTACCTTCCTGGCAATGAAAACTCCAACTCAGAGGTCAAAATATGGTGCTAATAATCATGTTTCACAGTACATCCTTCTGAGCTCATGTTGTGTTAATAAAGTAGGGCTTGAAAGGACAAGCAAAACAACATTCAGTGTTTCAGAATACAGAAAATATAAATGTGAATACTCACGGTTTGCTCGACATTCTATGCTTATCAGGGGTCCTTGTATCGCCTCACCACTGCTTTTACTAACAGCAATAAAGGCAGTAAAGGCACTGCTCACTCCTGACTGGATACTCAACTCCTCCACCTTCTTCTTCATTTCCTCATCACGCTCTCCTTTGTTGTCTCTTGCTTCCATCTCGAGGGAGCGAATCAGAGTTCGAGCAGCCAACATGTGGACTGTTAATCTGCAAACAGGGAGAAAGAAGAAGTACAGCTGGGATTCTTCTTACACTTTCATCTTGCCAAAATAAATTCAAAAATGATATATTTAATGCAACTTATTAATGAACAGAAATCTATGGAAGCCCGTTTCCGCCACAAAAAAAAAAAAAAAAAAAAAAAAGCTAGTATCCATAACTCGAAATTTCGAGTTATTTTCTCGAAATTTCGAGTTAGCTCTGCCAATCAAAAATATACGTGAATGAGGTCGCTTTCTTGTTACCCAGAAGCATATGGCGCAGGACCGCGCACTCAAAAACGGATCCCAACAAATTAAAGTATGTTTGCTGATAGTAACACCATGTGATTCAGCTAATAACACAGGGATTTCATCATTTGTGAAGCCAGGCTGAAAACACTCAGCAATCTGTGCATTCACGACTGGATGTAATACCGGTAGCTTAGCTGCAGCATTTGTAGCTGAGGGCTTCAGCTTCCGGGTAACGAGGAAATGACGTCATTCACATAGATTACTGATTGGCAGCGCTAACTCGAAATTTCGAGTTATGGATCCTTTTTTTTTTTTTTTTAGTGGCGGAAACGGGCTTCCATAGAAATCTGACATGAAATTAACTTTTTTTCTTTATCCTACAAAAATACATGTAGTAGTTAGGTGCTCTTGTGTTCTGAGTTAAAAGCAAATGCAGTCACGTTGACATATGCATAATGCTTTATTCTGTTTTCATATCTAATTCTGACACTAGATATGAACTCATTTACCCAGTGTCCTCTGCAGGTCTGAGACTGAAGTGCAGCTGGTTCTCAGAGGGATGACCTGCCAGGCTGTACTTCAGCGTCACACAGCCCTCTGCTGCCTCTGAGCTCTGACACAGAATTACAGTGTTAGAAGTCACGTTAATTACTGTCATCAAATACCTAAACAACAACATGAGAGGTAGGGGTGCAACGATACACAAAATTCACGGTTCGGTTCGATACTTTGGTGTCACGGTTCGATATTTCTTTCGATACAAAAAAAAAAAAAAATGTTCATGCCTTTTTAATTTGTCATTTATTAAATTTTCACGGCACATTCTGCACCACTTCTTTGTGTGTTCATCATTTGTTTGAAGCCAGCTCACCTCCTGCAACTACTTTTCCGAGAATACGCGCTTCTTTTGTAGTTCGGACTCCTGACATTTCATTGGCGGTGGAGGAACATCACAGTAATTGCTTAAAGGAGCTTCTTCGACATCTTTAAGAGTTCTAAACAAACGTCTGTCCTCCTCCAGAAAATCTTATGTACGCAAACACGCATTGCAACTTCTTATCTTGTGCACGTTTTTTTATTTTGACAGCGAATGCGCACCTGCGGACCACTTATGTGCAGCCCTGGTTATTTAGCTCGTCATATTGCAGCCACAGAAATTCTTTTGTCCATGAAACCATAAAGCTGCACTTTCTTTTTGCCTTATAGTCTGATTTGTCATAACTTTACAGTTTTGTGGTAAGCTTTTCTTTGGCTGTCACTTCTTCACCCTGACCTGTCTTATTTGGCTCAGCAGAACTAAAATATATATCCTGCTGCTTTTACACACACACACACACACACACACACACACACACACACACACACACACACACACACACACACACACACACACACACACACACCGGTCAGCGATTCTCTGCGCGATCAACCTCTCACATGTTTAAGCTGCGGGAGAGTTCACTTGTCATGTTTGCATAGTAAGCTAACGATTGATAAGACAATGTCAGAGGAATTGGTGCGCAAATTATCATCACTCACCAATCAGTACTGTCGCTCTCTATACACAGTTCGCGCGATTGCAAAGTGAAAGCAAAAAACAAGCGCAAATTCAAACGCGACTTCAATATGTCACATATTGACAGTGGCTCATCGATGCCAATGACATAATTACCCAGCTACATTTCCGAAAGAATGCAAAAGCATTGACATATATTTTTCCTTCCTACCATAGCCCTACGGGCAGGGCAGAGATAGATTTTGGTAGCCCGACTGGAAAAATCGCTAGCCCCGGGACGTCGGGCTAGCGATATTGCAAGCCCTGTATCTGATTGAGGAATCACTCATCTTTGGAAAAGAGAGTTTATTACAGAGAAATGGCTCTTTCCAAAATAAAAGCTATACTATATGCTTCTTCTGGGTTATATTCTCAGCAGCATATTAAAGATATCAGGTCCCATAAGGAGAATCATGTGCTAACGGCTGTCTAAATGACTCTGGTAAAGTCTGTAGCATGCGTGCGTGCTTGTTTTTGTCTGCTTCCACTTGTCTTTGCACTAGGATGATGTCGGAAGGAAATGTGCAGTCATATTCATTGTGTTCACACTAGTGTTGTCAGTGTTAATCTGAAATGAAGTTAACGCCACAACACGGCAAATCTCCGTTAACGTGCTACCGCGGATCGCCCCGTGTGTGGGGCTGGACGGCCAACACGTTAACGAGCTAACTGCGCTAACGCAGTAGTTCCCACCCATGTAATTGAGCATTGCCTGGCACATCCAACATACTGTCTTCAGGGTCATACTTCACATGAAAACCAAAATAGTTCCAAACGCCAGATCTGAATGAGGGTGGGGGAGGTTCAATTTGCCATGTTGCAACGAGAGCTTAACCTCTGTCTGGCTAGCTTGCCCTGCGCTCAGTGAATCTGCACTCGACAGTGCAGCCTAGGCGGAGCAGTCGAGTGCAGATTCACTGAGCGCTCAACACAGACAGCATCGTCAGAAGGAAAGTTGATAAAATAAATTAAAAATTTTGTATTGTTCGATACATATGCTTACCGAACCGAAAGCACTGTATCGAACGGTTCAATATCGATACGAGTATCGTTGCACCCCTAATGAGAGGCTGCTGCTCCTACCTGTCCAGTGAGCTGGGCATAAATCAGTGACCTCTGACCCTGGAAAAGTGTTGTGATTGGTGGAGAGAGGACAGTGACAGACACTTCCTTTGGTAAATCCCATGTGACTGAGATGTCGACCACAGCTGGCTGCAGAGCAAATCGTAGCGACTGCATCACCTGACAACAACAAGAATTAGAAAAAAAAATAAAAAATACATTTATGGTTGTTTTTTTTAATCATTCTGTCCTAATAATAACATCATGTTGTCTTTTTATGATGACAATTATTATGACTTATTGTCTTACTTTTGGTTGCATCCTGTCAGTCCCTGTGATGAACTGAGCGTGACCTCCTCCTTCCTTGGCCATCCCATTGATGAGAGCAGAGCTGGCCCCTTCCCCAATCCCAAAAGAGAAACACCTGCAATACAACAGCTTTTGTTGTGTACACAGAGGACATGTTGGACATTCTGGTAATTGTGTAGATATAACAGTTTTTTTGTAGTTTCACCTGTGAGAATCTGAATTCTTCTTCACCAGATCGATCACTTCTTTGGTGTTTCCCACCTGTCCATCAGTAAAGACAAACAGCTGGAGAGGAGAGTTGGCACATAAGGACATAACATCAGACCCAGAAACACACAACTAGTTCTGAGAGCTGAGTTAAGTTTCAAAAACAAAAATACTTTCATGGTAATACACAATAAACAAGCAAACAAAAGAGCAGAACTGTTTCCTGGACACTACACTAACTTTGTATAACTGTTCAAGCTGGGCGTTTAAAAAAAAGTGCATTAATAGTCAGTGTAATGTCAGTGTATATGTCTGTGTTACCTGTCTGGGCTGATTGGGAATGCAGGCCTGGCTGTAAATATATTTGAGGGGCTTCAGGATCTTTGTTCCTCCAAGATTAGCCTTCATCTTCTTTATTTTCTTCAGAGCCTCCTCCATGGTCTTCTGGCTGTACTCCACACTCTTACTGTCATTACACAAACACCAATACACAAATACATGTACTTCGTATCAAAAACAGACTTTTGTTGGGCTGACTGATGTGAGGCAGAGACTCACGGGAAGATGTGTTCATATTTGGACCCGAAACTGTAAATGTTGAAATAGCAGCCAATTGGTAAACTCTTCAACAGCAGCAGTAGAGTGTCCTTAAGGGAAGAGGGAAAAGATGGTGAGGCCACTGTGTGAGAGGCACATCATGAAATTAAAGATTTCAGAGTAAACTTATTATGAATACCTTGGCACCGTGGATGCGAGTCTGGCGAGGAAATCCGTGGTTCCTAAATCCCATACTTCCAGATCGATCCACTAAGAACACAAACTCTCCACATGGAGCCGTTGAAGACATCACAGACTGGGGGAACTCAGGGTACAGACTCACCATCACCACTGAATCACCCATCAGAAAGCCTGAAAATGAGAGACAGAAAAAGAAAATTACATAAATGCTTTTTATTCCAACACATAAACTGTTTGTTAAAAAGTAAGAATAATGAAATGTGTATTTGCAAACTAAAAACTTTCACTCACCCGGCTCAGCAGAGGCCTGTCCTGCCTCCACCACAGCAGTGGGCTGGTGGGCGTCTTTGTAATAAATCAGCAGTTCAACATCTCTGTCAAACTTGTGTCCTGCAGCCAGCTTGACCTGCACACCACAAACACATTCATATTTATTCATCAGTAAGAAGTAACACAGACACATCAGCACTCTACCTACCGTGGCCTGGGTTTGATCGGTGTTGAGGTACTGCAGAGGGTCCAGGGAGCAGTTGGACTCTACTTTAGAGACTGGACGAGGAGAGGACACTCGGGCAGAAAAAGACAGACTGTAGGGCACCAGAGAGGCTGGAACAGAAGTCACCTGGAAACCTGCACCTGCACTACCTGTACACAGCATCAGACTGATTAGAAGTAAATCTTTTGTTACAGTATCAACTTCAAGGTTCACAGAAAAATTAATTGAACCTCATGCTCTGGTTTTCTTTCTATTGTTATTTGATTTTAATACATTTCACTTCAGTTTATTTGTATAGTACCAAATCACAGTGAAACAAAAGTCACATGACAGTAAAAGAATTATAAATTTGATTCTGGATTTGACAGTGAACCAATTAGGAGAAGCCAGTATGGGATAAATATGTTCTCTTTTTCTAGGCCCAGTCAGTACTCTCGCTGCAGTAATAAATGCATGAACTAGTTTTTCAGCATAATTTAGTTCAATTGTTGTTTGCCATCTGGCTTCAACAATAGATAAAGCTAAGTATCATCTGCAGGGCCATATATTTGGATGTTGACTTTTAATGTTCTCTGTAAATCTCCCTCATATACACATTTACATAAGGGGGACGTAAACCCAGGTATGAGAAGGTGCAGTAATAAAAGCTTGTGTACATATTATGTTAGGTGCCTTTTTCATGGGCACCCAACTCAAGGGAGGAACCAGTGTTGTGTCTACACATAACAGACAACTTAGCAAAGTGGACACAATTTTAAACTGTATCTTTAGGCAGCCTGTTGCAAGTACACATCAGTTGTTCCCATTTCTTTAGCTGAAACCATGAAAAAGTAAAAAAATAACACTTTGACATTTATAAAATAATATTTTGGCACCAATAAGATGATTGCCAAAGTGCTATTAGATAAAAACTTGACATATCTGGGTAAGCTGTGCAGTGTGTCCTTAAAACATTGTGGAAACTAGACAGGTGAAGAAGTGCCAGGCCTAACAAACTATCTACAGCACATAATGATTTGAAAGTCATGTCCTTAAGAAATAGGAAAAAGATCCAGCGAACAGCTAACAGGACCCGAGGGATGGATCTGGGTCTTTAGTTGATCCATTTACGGTTCATTGAAGCTTCATCAGAAACGCTCTCAAAAGGAGGGTGGCTATCAAGAAGCCATTCTTATAAAAGGGAAAAAGGGTTCGAGGCATACGAATTTACACAAGAGGTGGACTGAAAATCAGTGGCAACAAAGGTTATCTTGACAGAGAACAACACAAAAGGCAAGCAGGATCAAAAGAAAAGCTACAGTTGTCCTACCCTGAGGTTGGTATCGAGGGTTGAGCACAGCAGGCAGACAGAACCTCAGACCATCATCAGCCTGCACAGCCAGCTCAGTGACGTACTCCAACCTGATGGAGGCGCTCTCTCCTGGAGGCAGACTGCCCACACACAGAGAGAATATATCTGGACTCTCATCACTCTCTGTCAATAGGCAGACCTGCTGACCGGAGCTCAGAGCATCATCATACAATTCACGAGCCTGAAGCACAGGTGACACATGTCAGTGACATTCACTGTGTTTATTTTGAAGCTCACTTATAATCAGGTTATATTTACTGTCCAGCTCACCTTCTGTTTCTCCTTCACCTCAGCTACAATCTGTATCTGTCCAATCTGAGCACTGAAATGACAGACAGCAGCATCTCCAGGCAGAGGGAAGACAAAAACAGCCTCTAATGGTTTGTCCTCCTTGTTCTCATAGTTCAGAGTGGAGACCACTGTAGCCACATGGTCCCTCACCTCCAGCTCCACCTCAATGCTCTTCAGAGGAACTGACAGTCAAACAGAAACATCCAAATTTACAACACATCTTAACTTGGTCAAACCAGTTAAATGGACTGGTTCTTATACAGCACTTTTCTACTCTATCTCAAAGCACTTTACACAACTTGTCTCATTCACCCATTTGCACAAGCACTTTTTTCTATACTCTTTCTATGGAAGTGCACAGGCAATCATGCGCCAATAGATGCATCAGAAAGCAACTTGGGGTTGGTACATGGCCCAAGGATATTTGGCATGCAGACTGCAACAGACGGGGGTCGAACCTCCAAATTGGTAAGCAACCTGCTCTACCTCCTGAGCTACAGCCGTCCCCCCCCCAATCTCCTATGAAATTGTATTTATTAAGTGATGTTTTACCTGGTTCCATCTGGACACTGCGTAGACCACAGAACACCATCTTTGTACCTATTCACAGCTAAATCAGAGATTTAATTTGAACATGATCGTTATACTGACACGTAACTTTCATTAAAATATAGCCAGCCTGAATACAACATAAAGTGATTAAGATATATCTGAAAGACTTAACCTGAGGTCATTTTCAAAATATCAGAATAAAAACAAAGAAAAGCAATCATCCTTAAAGATATAAATGGAAATATTATAACTTGAAAAAAACTTTGAAAGATATTTTTGTTGTTGTGTGGGCAAATAAAATCTCTCTTTTTTTTTTCAGATATTACTCTGACGGGCAATAAAATGGAAAAGACCCACCATGTGGAGACACTACGATCTATGAAGAAGGCTAATTTCGATCAAAGATTCTGATGCGTCATCTTAACCTTCATAAAACACATGGAATAAATTCCTACCTCTTAAAACACTGACGTTGGTCCAGCAAATACTTTCCTCCTGCTGTTTGTGACGTAAACGCACTCGTTTCTAAAACAGTCGCAGTAAAAGGTCCAGCCGAAGACAGAGATGTCCACTTGTGCTCTGCAGACAGCTGTGGAAAAAACACAGTTCTGAGGGCTGGGACAGTCAGGTGGGCGAGGCTTCAGCAGCCAGCCGAAGCAATCAAGTGCATCTACCAGCTGCTGCTCACCAGCGCAGTTAATATCAATTAACGTCAGTGAGCAGAGAGGAAGCAACAGCCACATAACAGCAACACAGTGCGGTGTTAGAAAAAGTCACTGTGTTTTCCACGAAGTTTTTTATGCACTGCATGAAAAACCCTAATTTGTTACAATTACCAAATACCAGTTTACAATAAACACAAAAATCAGAAACCAAAAACATGAAATTAAAAAGTAATTAAATCAGGATGGATTTTATGGCACAACACTAAATTTAAAGCAGTATGAAGTAGGGGTGGGCGATATAAACGATATAAATTTGGCCAACGGTAGAGATTTTGACTATACCGCTGTATCGCCATAGCGCATATTGATGATGTCATCAAGCTGCGCCTGTTTTGGTGGAAAGCGTCACAGCGGCTACAACCATTATCATCTGCAAATTAAGCCGGGAGACAGTCATAGCAAAGAGATGAAGCACTTTTGAAATATTGGGAAAGCCAAAAACTCTGCTTCACCTCCGTAACATTGATTCATTAATGTTGAATTCTCTCGTAGCTGTTCTATTCCCATGTTGTTGCAGTACATTAATAACTACCTTGTATTGTGGATGAATAATCTCAGTTGTTCTCCTGACTGACGTTTGCCCCGTGTATAGCATCCTGCTTTGCGATTGCATTTGTCCCTAACCACCAGAATCCCTCACGTTAACTTTTATCGAGTAGAAAAAAAGTTGGCGTTCATCATCCAGCTTCACTGTGCTAATGTTATGCTAACATAGCTGTGTCGCTAGCAATCACGTAGCACAACATTATATACCAGGTAGTCCAACTTCAGTAACCCTGCAAACGCCACTGATGTTTAGTTTTCTGTCTTCATTTATGTCAGAAGTGGTAGCAGAGCTGTATGTTTTAATTAGTTTAAAAAATCTCTCAGTCAGAACATGGTGTGTCATGTTTAGGTGGAAACTAGCAAGCTAACTTCCTGTTAACTTCTAACTCCGTTAAATTTAATAACTTCTGTTTTCATGGATGCCTGGTTGTTAAACTTAATTGTTACACCTAGTAAAGCAACAACGCTGATGATTTTATTAAAGATGAAAGAATTTAGACCATTTTTAACTCTCAATGTTCGTTTGACTTTGGGACCTGAAGGGACGGAGTTTTGGACCCAGATTACTCCGCGAAGCTCCTCACTACGGCAGCCGTAATGCTCTGACAATCCATCAAAACATTTTTGAACAGATTTCTGCACGCCCAAATCGGTTCCAGGTCAGTAAGCACAACCAGAATTCATACATAAGGCACACTCGATTTTTGAGAAAATTAAAGGATTTTAAGTGTGCCTTATAGTGTGGAAAATACGTTATACAGAAGAAAATAATATATCGGGATATATATATCGTTACCACACGTGCTTCAAATTATATCACGATATGGATTTCATGCCATATCTCCCAGCCCTAGTATGAAGTCAGTAAACCAAACCCTCAGAGCCCCAGAGTTTCTCTTTTGATGCTGTAACCCAACAGGACTTTTCCAGCTTCAACACACTCTGTCACACACAGTGCTAAAAACACAGTTATTACAAGAAAGCATGTGGAAAAACAGCTGATCGTAGCCATGGCATATTGTTAAAATAAACACACTTTATCAGCTATTATCATGGTTTCTACCATTCTGAGCACGGACCCATGAGGCAGCCTTCACAGCCAGAAGCTCTTGAAGCCATGAAGCCGGATCAGAGCCAGAATAGTGGCCCACACATCACCGGTAGCGTAAATCAACAAATTAAGGGAAATCAAATTAAACAGAAAAAACACAAAAACATCAGAAAGCTGCATACACTTATCACAGACATGAACGTCATGATAATTTGCGACCTTTTATGATTTGTTTGCACATTTCTTTTTCGAGGATCGAATGATTGTACAGCAGACATCAAGAATTTCATGGATAAGCTTTAATTTATCTTGGATTTTGTCCAATCTAATAACAATAATTGTTATGAGGGCTTCTATATCAACTCCAGAACACGGTAACTTATTTACTAAGATGCGTGTGAAAATGTCCTGATTAGACCTCAAAAGGTCCTCGTGGTCAAAGGGTTATATTAACTGTAGCAGAACTGAATTTGAATTTAAGTGTCACGGCTAATGGAAAGCATGGACTCAAGCGCAGAACTCTGGATACAAAGCAGACAGTGCGTTTATTTACAGTGCTCAAATACAGTCTTAAACAAAGAAGGGCAATTGTCCAAAGGTGATTTTCTCCCAATTCCCGAAGGTGGTGCACATGAGTTAGTGATGTGCGATACCACTGATTTCCTTTCCGATCCGATACCAAGTAATATTCAGGGTGGTATCGATGATACTGATACGGTCTTTCACTACTCGGGTTAAACATGATATATAAGTCACTTTGATAACTTCAAAATGTTATTGTTTGGCTTTTTCAGTGTTTTATTTGTTCGTGACTAAATCGGTTTGGCTGAGATTAAAGTTATTAGATTAGATTAAATTAAATTTAACTTCATTAATCCCTCGGGAGGGTTCCTCCAGGGTTTTCACACAGCTGAATAAACATCAAACAATAATTAAACAGAAGAGTTTACGTCAGTGCCCGGTTATATATTAGATAGCCAGGAGCAGACGGCAGAGTTTCACTCCACCGAGGGAGCTTGTGACGTACTACCCTACTACTTTCTTTAGACCGCCAAGGTCGGGTCCTCAGGTGGAAGCAGCCTCTGAATTTGGACACCCTCGCTGTTTCCGGGCCGGCCAATAATAATGGTGACATTTAACGTATTTTATCCGATCAATAAACCCTGTAAAATGTATTTATCACCCCCCAACAGCCCTTTTGAATGCCTCCCTAGTATGGCCACAACACCTCACTCTTGGAGCACTTTTTTTGCCACATGTATCGCAAACCACATCTCAGCTGTTTGTGGAGGTAAAATACGTCCGCACAATTACGCTCAGCCATTGTTGTGAGTGCGCACGCCAAGGGGCTGCGAGACATTTATACAGCCATATTTTGCACATGACTATGAAAGGCGGAAGAGGAAGTAGTTCCTCTGAATGTAGACAATCCGAATGTTATAGTTTCTTTCCACTGTGTTCCTGTTAATGATAAACTACAAATTTACTCTAAATTACTAAAATATCGATATTTTAATGTGAGAATCGATTATAGAACATAAATTACTGGTATCGGAGGAATTGATATTTCAGGATCGATCCGCACATCACTACCAGTGGTGTGCGATACTGCATATTTTGGTATCAATCCGATACCAAGTAAATGCGGGCCAGTATTGCCGATATCAATGCCGATACCGATACTTTTCAATAAATAAGGTGGATACGTCATTGAATTGCTAAGTCTCAATTAATTTTTATAACCTTAAGTGTTTTTTGTGATGGTTCATTTTTTATTATTAAATAGTTAAAACCCAGGACATAATTAGGATAAAGTTTATAATTAAATAGAAAATGCTTTCTTATTGTGGCTGCTCTGCGATGCCACTGCAGGTGAGATGGACTCACCTGTACCGCGTCTATAATCACGCCTGGCTGGCTTAAAACCTGTGCTCTGCTTGTATTGTTGTTAGTGATGTGTACAGCTGGCGAGCTGCAGCCGTTGTACTAATGTACTGTTAGAGAAATTGTGTGATTATTGTAAGGGTGGACAGCGCACAGGAAGGACTGGTTCGGGGTGAGCTGGAGGCTGGCGGGACCTGCCAAGCTGGAGACGGAGGTGCGGGGGGGGGGTCCTGCCACATCCGAGGGCAGCGTGCTGTCCGGTCCAGCCTCTCTTCCAACAGAGGCCGGCACGCTGCGTGGTACTGCGCGCCGACCACCTGCTCAGCTGCCTGTGAGCCCCGGCTCACTTCCATGCCTGCTGCCCCGCTGCTGTTTGCCACATGGGTGGCTACCTGGGGCGCCGATGGTCCGGGCCGATTCCCTCGCCTGCTCGCGGAGGGGGCGAGTAGGTTAGGCTCTGTCTCAGGGGCAAAGGGGGTATATGGCGGGGTACGTTCTGAGATGGACTCACTTGCACGGCATCTACAATCATGCCTCGCCGGCTTAAAACCTGTGCTGTGTTCTGTGTTGTTGTTGATTGTGATGTGTACAGCTGGCAGCAGGAGAGCTGGAGCAGAATGTACTGTTACAGCAGCCATGTGATTATTGTAAGAATAAATCATGCTGTGAAGCATGAAAATGCCATCAGGTCTGCCGTGGCGGTTTACTCATTTTATTTTTATTTTTTTAATAAAAAATTTACAATAAATTGTGCAAACCAGTAAACAAATCAAAACAAGTACTGCTGGGAAACTATAATACAAAATTTACAATTAAAATTCTCAACAACAATAACAGCTGATAAAAATATAAATAATATGTAAACAACTTAACAACCCCCAACTTGTCTAAGTCACGTCAAGTGACAGCGCAACATGTCAACACAAGAGGGGGAAGAGGGAGCAAAGTGCGTCTGCTCTGCGCTGACACAGGAGCAGCAAGTCCAGCGACCTTTGCCAAAAGCACAGCATTACAAACAAGAGCGGAACTTAAAAGTAAAGAATCGATCTCACCAGCCTAGTATTGATTCGATACCGATGCCAACTTGGTATCGATATAATCGATATTTGGATCGATCTGCCCACCACTAATCACTACTCTTCAGTGAAAATCCGTGTGTGCTCCTTCCGTGTGTGTTTCTCCTCCCGAGTGATAAAACCAGCGAGCCCTTTTCTCCGCTCTGTACTTCTCCACCTGATGGACGAGCAACAACAACATCTGATGAGAAGGCTAGCCTGACTATGCTAAGTCACAGAATTGCGAGCACACTAAACTACCAAGCTTCAAGTACAATCCAGCGTCGACTGCCGTCTGGTAAATACCTCAGCCCAAGCGAGGAAAGATTAGCAGCAGCTGGGTGGTGTGTTGGCAGCCGAGCGGAGACGCTTCCCGGTCAGGGGTCGGCCATTCTCTCCCGGAGGCGTGGCCAGACCTGGAGTAGGGGGGGAGGGGAGGAGAGGGAGACACACACACAAGCAGGACCGTCCGACCATGACATTAAGCTGATGATGCTGACGTTCATTCCTTGAATTCCAACTGTATATTGTCTAATCTAAAGACACCATAAACAGTGTACTGTCAGTGTATAGAGATGAAAAACAGTTAGGACAACTTATGAAATATCTGCTTACATCTTGTTGAATTCAGTTGTGTGCATCCACAAAGAGCAACAGATCAGCTGATTACAGCCTGTAATTTTGATGATCACTGGGTTTTTATTTGTTTGGTTGTTATGGGAGTCACGTGGGTGCTAGCGGTGACATAAATGGGCGTTGTCAGTCTGTCATTCACTGGTTTTGATTTTGACAGAGAGGAGGGCTGGGTAGCCGTACTTTTTGTTGACCGCTGCACAACATGTTTCGCCTTGTTACATTAGAGCCTGTGACGTTGTAAGAGTCTGAATCAGGAGCCGATGACATTACTCTGTAAACTCTCAAAGCACTTTAATAAACAAACAAACAATTCCACCTCTCGCATTATTGCGTAAAGTTGACAGCGCGTCAGGCAAATAGGCAGGCTTCATCCCCGGCCTCTAGCGACTGTGGAAGTCGGTACAGTGGGTGAATTCAGTAACCTGTGCCGTTTGCCTAGAGGGGGGCAGAGGGAAGAGACCAGTGGATGTCCTCCAGAGGCGGCAGAGGCTGGCCAGTGAAGTCCTGAGCAGTTTTTATCACCCTCTAGAGAGTTTCGCTGTCTGCTGCTGAGCTGTTCCCAAACCAGACAGTTATACAGTACAACAGGATGCTTTATATTGAGAGTAGAAATGCTCTAATAGATTTGCAGACAGGTGGGGCTTCTTCAGTATTCTGAGGAAATAAAGTCCCTGTTGTGCCTGTTTTATAATAGGAGCACCATTCGTTGTCCATTTAAGGACCTCATTGATGGCAACTCCCAGAAATATAAAGCAAGCACCCCCTCATCCTCCTCACCTCCAGATTCCAGTGGCCTGAGCGCCCCTCTCTGTCGCCTGAAAGCAATGACTACTTTTGGTTTTTTAATATTTAGGGAAAGGTTTTTATAAGAGCACCAATCAGATACTGACTTGATGTCAGATGTTCTTTTTATATTATTATTTTGTGGACATCAGATATCTGATATCAGCAGAGATGGGAAGTAAAAACCTAAAAACATTGAAGGTTAAGCAGTGATTCTTTTTTTCTGTTTAAAATCAAAACTTTGTGAGTTTTTATTTCAAATAATAGCTGATGAGCTTCATCTCCATATTCTACCAGTTGGTGATGGTAATTCATCATCATTTGAATGTACTAATAACAGAGTTGCAGCAACTGAAGATACATAATTTAAACAATTACTCACCACACATTTATTTAACTCAGCTTTTTAACTAAGCATTACTCCATTACCAATTGATTAAATTGTGTATTCTAACTGGGGAAACGTAACTTTTATACTTCTTTAATTGGCGATTCTGTTCTGAGACATTAGAAGTTAGAGACACCAGCAACCATGGTCAATTATCTTCCAGGGGCCGGAGAAGGTGACATTGAGGAAAATTTAAAACTGCTGGCTAAGGGTAAACGTAAATTGTCATGTTTCAGCTGTGTACAGGCAGGAGAAGGACCCAAACGCAAAACTCACAACAACAAAATTAAATTCAAAAAGCTGCTTTATTGCAGAATGGCATGGTAAACTAAACTAAATTAAATTAAACTGGGACATGGATAAACTGAGACACAAGGAAACACAGCCGTGAGGGGGACTACGACACTGACAAAGAGAAACACAGGGCTTAAATACACTGAGGGATAACGAGGGAATGAGAGACAGAAGGAGAGCCCAGCTGGAAGTAATCAGGTTGGACGGAAAGGGAAGCAAAACTAGAAACACTGAAGGGCAAGGGAGACTTAACAGGGGTTGGAAGACACAAGGGGAATCTAATAACAAAGAACTAGAAAAACTCATGAGCTTAATTATATAAACATCCAAATAAACTAAACTCAAAACACTGGGTCATAAGACCCGGGATCGTGACATAAATTCAGTACAATTATAATTCACATCGGCAGTAGTGATACCCAGTTACGTCAATTGGAGGTCACCAAAATGAATATTGAATCGGTGTGTAACTTTGGAAACAATATTGGAGTCTGTAGTTTTCACCGGTCCCCTCCCCAGTCAGACCAGGAGTGACATATTTAGCCGCATGTTCTCCTTGCTGGCTGTCTGAGTGGTGTCCAAAAAACGATGTGGGCTTCATAGATAATTGGGAAACTTTCCAGAGGAAACCCGGTCTTGTTAGGAGAGACAACATTCCTTAGATGGAGCCGCTCTCATTTCTAGAAATTTTTTTCTAAATACAATTTATTAAACACATATTAAAAACATGACTATCCAGAGTTGGGACCAAGAAGCAGACTTGCAGTCTTACATGCCTCTCTTCTCTCCTCCCAGCAAAACACTGACTTAAATGAGTCAAAACCCCAGAGTCATACTAACTATCAGAATCCTTGAAGCACAGGCCGAGTGCTATGAGATTGACTCTAAGATCACAACCTGATTAAAAACAGAATCTAACATAAACATTCTTGAGATTACGGGATGGCAAAAAATGTACTTTAAAACAAGATCTTCTTGTTTCATTGGGACAGTAAAGTCCCATAAGAAAGAATAGGCATACCTGTGTAAGAACAGGTATCACTGCTATGGAGTTTAATGTTTTACATGCAGACTCAGGGCTGCTAGTCTCCTCTCGGCATTTAAACATTGGTAATTTAGAAACTCACAGTTCAACAGCACAACACTGTGTTTCCTTTTTACATCAAACATTTCTTTCAGCCATCTGTTTTTATCAGTGGATACATGACTAACTTTTATTCAATAGCTACAAATTACACAAATCCAAGATTAAATATTTTATTTATCAAAGACATGTGATTACACATTCATCAAGGAGCTAAGCACAGTGTAAGAAAAACTTTATAAAGTAATAATAAATGTTTTATAAAAATCATATTCTCTGATGATCACATTACACGTGTCACATCTGTTTTTTGTTTTTTTCACTTTGGACTGAACATGGTAACGCCTGGACCTAAAATATCAGGGCTGATTTTTTTGTCCCAGTCCAGGCCTGCAGCCCTCCGTTAAGAAACCATGTTCTGATCTCATTTCCACATTGATACAACCATGATGAGTTTATTTTAGTGCGCATTCATTCGTTTGATCTTTATTTAAGGGTCATTGGTTGGATACTTAAATGTAAAAAACAGAAACTCACTCGATCAAATTGTTAAGTGGTTGAGCAGGCTGATCCACAGCTGAGCCGAGCATCCCTGTACACCAGACCGTTACAGCAGTTTGCTGGTTTGATTTGTCTTGATGGCTCACACCTGTTGCATAGTGAGTTTCAGTTTCTACCTTCTGGGCAAAGGTTCCTGGTTTCAAAATGTAAAACATGGAGGTTTAAAAATAGCTTTGTTGTAGCAGCCATTACTCAGATGAACAAGTTATAGCTTGTTTGTGGTTGTATTAAGAGTATGTGATGGATGGCTCATGACTGCAGAACAAATCTAGCTATGCATTCCCTCTGCTGGCCTTGATTTCACTCACTGTGAGACATGGCTGATGATGAGGTCCCATTTGTTAGTGGAAATTATGTCCAGCTATTTACTTACATGACATGAATTAAAAAGTGAAAGATATGCTTTGGAATAAGGAAGAATTTTGCTTCACTATGACTTTGAATTTAAGCTGCATATTTTCCTCAACCATGATTAAAAAATGTGTTGAAAGACAGAACTGGCCAGGTGTGTTGGTCTTTTTAAATATTTTAAAATTTAATTATTTATTTTTGTCATGGTGACTCATTAGAAGGAATGATGGGTCCAAACTCATGTGTGTTGTTATTTGTTTAATATTTGATGCTTTCAAGCAAACAGCAACATTAAAGTTAGAATAGAAAAGCAATAATCTCTGGTACTCTTACAAAGCTGACTTTGGACACATGCAGCATAATATAAGGCACATTAGATAATAAAGTTGGACGATGCAAAGATTAATGTGGATGAAGTATGAAGTAAATCTGCTTCTGTGTATGAATCATAAAGAAGTTGTTAGTTTATAAAAAACTCAGAGGCCAAGGGCAGTTTTTTGCACACTGCAGCCCAACAATTTATTTCCGGCTTCCACACACTCTGTCACAGACGGTGCTGGAAAAAAAAGGAACACACAAAACAAAATAACCAGTTAGCATTAATCTTAACGACTGTAGCAACTCAGTATAGCCATCACAAACTGAATGCTTATTTTTGTGTTTACTACCTTTTTGCGCACTGAGCCATGACACAGCCTTTGCAGCCAGAAGCTCCCACTCATCCTTTGCATCCATCTTGAAACCATGAAGCCAGATCAGAGCCAGAATGGTGGCCCACACTTCACTGCTGGCCTAGCGTATAGAATCAGAAGTCATGTAGTTAAATATTAAATTAAGTGAGGCAGCATGCAGATGTTCGTTAACATGAGTGTGTAATTTTGAAAATTCAATTTTGAAATCATTTTAATGAATACGTTACAAACACCCACTATTACTGTGTTATTATTTATTTAATAGCCCACCTTTTCAGGCTTTGACTTTTCCACCTCCTCGTTGGTCTTTCCCAGTGCAGCAGCCAGAGCTGGATCAAGCAGCCAGCAGCCAGACGCCTTCTGGAGGGAGACTAACTGTAGCAAAGGGTCTCTGGGTGGCTTCTTAGCAGGTGGAAATTCTTCATCCGGCAGTGCTAAAGGGGAAATTTAAATACAAGTATATTCATAAAGTTTTTTATGCTGATCACTCTCCTTCTATTTAGTTAATAAAATCATCTTAATTGGGGGGAATTAACAGAGCAATATTTTAGAAAAAGAGTTTAGTTAATTAAGAAAATAGTTCCATTGATTCGGTTAGCATCCACATGTTGCAATCTTTTTTTCCTCACATACAAGGTGTTGAATAATCGAGCTCCACCTTATATTAAAGACTTTATAGTATCGTATCAGCCGCTCTCTGACTGAGCTGTTCTTGTGTTTAACTCCTGTGGAACCAGCTCCCAGTTTGGATTTGGGTGACAGACACCCTCTGTACTTTTAAGACTATGTTAAAAACTAGGGGTGGGTTTTTATAATCGATTTATCGATTAAAATTGATTCTGGCTTGGATAACGTGAAATCGATTCATTAAAATCCTGAATTGATTTTTTAATATAAATTTATTTTGCCCGAAATGCCAGAATCTCTGGTGAAACCTCAAAATTTCAACAACCACCAAACAGCTAAGACAGTAAATGAGAGCAGGAACACGGATTCTGCACAAAGACGTAAACACACAGCGTGGACCCGCGGATCAGAATCAGTGAGATGTCGCCTTTCTCACCTGACGGCACGGACACGGTCCGTGCTGAAAGCCAACAGCTCGCTGATTCTGATGTTTCGGCGGGTCCGCGCTTTGTGTTTACGCCCTTTCTGTGCTGATTCTAAAGCTGTTAGTTTTATCTCTCTCCAAACAATATTGACCGAACCAGCAGCAAAAGAAGATCCAAACTAAGCTTCACGAAAACATCGTCATGAATTTCCTCTGACTTTTGCTGTTTTGCTTCCACCACACTTCATGCACAGCTCTCTCTCTCTCTCTCTCTTCAAGAACAGTTTCCCGTCTAAAAATCTGTTTTCTGCATCATTCGCTTGCTTGTTACGCACAAGTCTACCATTGTTTACAGCGCACTGGGTCGCTGTTTTTTTTTCCTTTTACATACTTCCGAAGAGAAAACCTAATTTCTGCCGTTCAATACTGAACAAATTTAAACTTTCTAAAATTGTGCAAAATGCAAAACGCTTAGCCGTGTCTCTAATAAAACTGCTGTAACGTCAGAGGTAACGTTTATATGTTGATTAATGGTTTTCTTTCGTTTTTGATGTACTGCAGAATATTTTCATAAAATCCCAGGCCAGGAAAACCTTCATGTTTTTCTGTGTTTTATGTTCAGCTACTTTGACACAAAGGCATCTGCTGTGATGCTCACACCTTTGAAAAAGTCTTGCGTGTGTCAGCTTCCTTTTTATAGATACAAAAATATGTAAATCTACTGATCTGAATTATAATATTTCTGACTGTCAAAATTTCCCAGATTCAAATCGAATTGAATCGAATCGAATTAAATCAAATCGTGGATCGTATCGATTCGGGACCTTGTGAATCGGAATTGAATCGATTCTAGAAATCAGTGACGATACCCAGCCCTATTAAAAATGTCCCTTCTTGATAAAGCATATAGTTAGGGCTGGATCAGGTGACCCTAATTCCTTCCTTATTTATGCTGCATTATGCCTAGACTGCCGGGAGATTCCCATGATGCATTGAGTAATTCTTCTTCAGTCACCTTCTTCACTCCCTATGTGTTTATACACCTCTCTGCATTATTCTTCCTCTCTGGCTCTCTTCCACAGTGTGTCTTTGTCCTGTCTACCCTCATCCCAACCTGTCGCAGCCAGGAGGGAGTTTTTCCTTCCCACAGTCACCAAAGCGCTTGCTCATAGGGGGTCATATTGTTGTTGGATTTCTCTCTTTTTTGTATTACTGTATACAAAAGGTATTTTATGAATTTCACCAGGTTCTGTACTAGGACCAATACTTCTTATGTTACACCTGTTTAGGCAGTATTATTAGAAAACACTGAACTCTTTTGCATTGCTTTGCAGATGACTCTCAGCCCATGAAACCAGATGATACAAAACGAATTAAAACGAATTAAACTACAGGAATGTCTTAAAGATATTAAGGTCTAGATGACTTTTGATGTCCAACTAAAGATAAACGTGTTTATCTAAAACAAAGAAGTCAAAACAGATACCTCCGTAACAGCACTCGTCTTCGAATTCTGGAAGGTTTCCAAAATCCACATCAGAATCTGCTTTTTCAAAGGAAATTCAACACTGAGCACACACACTTGAAGTTGTAATCAAAATTAATACATTTTTACCCTCATTGCACACTGAATGTAGTAGCATGTTCAACACTTAACAAAATGTAAACCTCTGTATTTTAAAATTTTGAAAGTTAAAATTAATAGTAGAAAAATCAAAATTACACTTGGAAAAGAATCACTACATATTCAAGTGTGTACATTTAAAGCAAAGAAGTCAAAACAAATACCTTCAGAGTCATCCACTGCACAGTAGTGCTCGAGATCTGCTTCTTCAAAGGAAATGCAACAGTGAGCACACACACTTGAAGTTGTAATCAAAATTAAAACATTTACCTTCATTGCAGACTAAATGCAGTAGCATGCTTAACATTTAATTAAAACTAAATGTAAATGCTTCTTTATTAAAATTTTGAAAGTTAAAATTAATAGTAGAAAAATCGAAATTACACTTGGAAAAGAATCACTTAAAGCAAAGAAGTCACAACAAATACACAAACTAATTAAACTACAGGAATGACTTAAAGATATTAAGGTCTAGATGACTTTTGATGTCCAACTAAAGATAAACGTGTCTATCTAAAGCAAAGAAGTCAAAACAGATACCTCTGTAACAGGACGTGTTTTTGAATTCTAGAGGGTTTCCATAAACCTCCTCATAATCTGCTTTTTCAAAGGAAATTCAACACTGAGCACACACACTTGAAGTTGTAATCAAAATCAATACATTTTTACCCTCATTGCACACTGAATGTAGTAGCATGTTCAACACTTAACAAAATGTAAACCTCTGTATTTTAAAATTTTGAAAGTTAAAATTAATAGTAGGAAAATCAAAATTATACTTGGAAAAGAATCACTACATATTCAAGTGTGTCCATTCAAGTGTGGCTGTAGCTCAGGTGGCAGAGCAGGTCAGCCACTAATCAGAAGGTCGGTGGTTCGATCCCTGGCTGTATGCCAAATATCCTTGGGCAAGATACTAACCCCGTGTTTGCCTACTGGTGGTGGTCAGAGGGCCCGGTGGCGCCTGTGTCCGGCAGCCTCGCCTCTGTCAGTGCGCCCCAGGGCAGCTGTGGCTACAATGTAGCTTGCTATCGCCAGTGTGTGAATGGGTAAATGACTGAATGTAGTGTAAAGTGCTTTGGGGTCCTATGGACTAGAAAAGCGCTATACAAATGCAGGCCATTTACCATTTATCTCAAAGATGTCAAAACCTTCAGAGTCATCCACTGCACAATAGTAATCGAGATCTGCTTTTTCAAAGGAAATGCAACAGTGAGCACACACACTTATAATTCTACTCCCAATGAAAACACAAGTAAACATTTTTCTTTCATTGCATGCAAAATTTAGTAAAAGCTTAACTGATGTGGGATCTCATTTTACTTGTCTGACGAGAATTTGTCAGCATGAGCAAATCATCTGACGTTATATAACTCAGACTAACTCGGTGTGTGTCAGCAATCCCAAAACTAACTACCAGAAAACAAAAACCCACCCCAGACGGAAGAAGTCACTTGGATGAGTGATCAAACATTACTCCCACTGAAAACGCTTCATCCAGTGAACTTTACCGTATTTTCCGCAATCTAACGCGCACTTAAAATCTTTTAATTTCTCTCAAAAATCGGCAGTGTGCCTTATGTATGAATTCTGGTTGTGCTTACCGACCTTGAACTGATTGTACACGGCTCAAAAATCAGTCAAAAATGTCTTCGTGCGACATTGGTAACCTACAAAGCCGCACTGCTTGATGGATTGTCGGAGTATTACGGCTACTGTAGTCAGGAGCCTCGCGGAGTAATCTGGGTCCAAAACTCTGTCCGCTTCAGGTCCCAAAGTCAAACGAAGATTGCAGCATCACTGAGAGCTAAAAACTGCCTGAATGCTTTCATTCTTAATAAAATGATCAGCGTTGCTGCTTTTCCAGGTGTAACAATTAAGTTTAACACCCAGGCATCCATGAAAACAGAATTCATGAAATTTCTGAAAAAATTTAAACGTACAGCTTTGCTATCAGTTCCAACATAAATGAAGACAGAAAACTAAACAGCAATAACTTTTGTACGGTTACTGAAGTTGGGCTAGCTGGTAGATAATGATGTGCTAAGTGATTGCTAGCGACACAGCTATGTTAGCATAACATAAACACAGTGAAGCTGGAGGAGGAACACTAACTTTTGTCTACTTGATAAAAGTTAAAGTGAGGGTTAGGGACAAATGCAGTCAAATGACAGGACGCTGAAAACGGACCAAACTTCAGTGCTTAATGCATCTTATAATCCAGTTCGCCTAATGGTCTGAAAAATACGTTACTTTCAAGCTCCCAGGCCTCTGGAAGAAGATGTGAGCTTGAAGGACAGACTGTCCGCAGGGGCAATAGGTGAATTCTTTATATATTTTGTGTGTCAGCGTGTGTGTGCACTTTTACTTTTAAAAGGGAGTTTTTCCTCCCAGTCACCAAAGCGCTTGCTCATAGGGGTCGTATGATTGTCGAAGTTCTCTCATTTTGTTTGTATTATTGTATACAAAAGGTATTTAAAAAAGTGCATTGAAGTGGTTTGAGTCATATGTATTTAATAGTCTCCAATTTGTTCTTATAACTAATTATTCTTTTTCACACACACACAAACACAAACACACACCTGTGATTGTAGAAGTACTCACACTGTGTTTGCAAAGGTAACAAACCTTGTACTCACCAGGTGAAAAACTGGAAATATTAGCTGTTAGACAGCAAGGGGTAGCAGCAAATCCCATTAGACCAGCCACTAATAAGATAAGATAAGATAAGATAAGATAAGATAAGATAAGATAAGAATGCCCCCATAACAA